TCCTCTGCTCTTCTCCCAGACTCCCCAGCGGTCTTGGAAGAAAAGCAGTGAAAGTCAGGCACCCCTCCTCCCGACATCATCAGGATGGGCCAGCACACTCCACTGGCTGCAGGGAGAGAGGTGAGTTTAAAAATCCGAGTCCCCAGCCAGAGGCAGAGGCAGGGGATTTGGATTTGTGCTCCCCTCTGCTCTGGCGGCCGCTTGTGCCAGCCCTGGGTCCTGCAGGACTAGTAACGGGAACGGTGTTCCTGCTGTGGAAAAAGTGCAGGAACGCCGTTCCCACGCGTTCCTGCAGGACTCGAGCCCTGCCTCTGGCTCCTTCTTTCATCCTCCCCCTTGCGTGCATTGCTTCCACTGAATTCAAGTAGAAGAGATGCCTAGAGGAGGGTTTCCATGATAACAGGCAGGTAGAGCACAGCCTTTTTATCTCCATGCCGATTGGCACAGGGTGAATTGACTGAAAGAAGAGGGAAAATACTTTATTTTTAATCTCTGGTTTGCTAACACAATGTACAAATGAAATTTGATTTTCTAACATTTAAGATTAAGTTGTGTTGTGCATATATATATCAGGAATCCTTGATCCTCTTTTTATAATATCTTCTTTATTGGTACATTGAAGTTTACAAAAATAATTATTTTAATAACAGTATCAATACACCAAATCTTTTTTTATTTTTTTTGTATTTATTTTTTCTGTGCATGTGAGTACGATTAACATATCATCTTGCAATGCCGCAACAGCAACAGCAAGCATATTATAAACAGAAGTTGACATGGCATGCGAGTAAACGGCACAATTTTATATTATGTTATATTATAATAAGCAGGCTAGGTACAGGGCAGGCGCTTCCTATAAGGCGAACTAGGCAGCTGGAGGGGTCGCCCTGCGCTCCCATCATCGGCCCTTTGAATGCTGCAGCCGTCTGAGCGCTCTATAGAGAGCCTCAGGCGGCTGCAGCTCTGCCTCTCTCCTCACCTCCCCTTCCCTTGGTAGCATGGCCGAGCTACTCTCCGGTCCGCGTTACAGGAACATCCGTTTCCTGTACCCGGCCGGACTGACAGGAAGTGCACACTCAGTGTGCACTTCCATGAGTCCGGCCGGGTACAGGAAACAGAAGCTCCTGTACTGTGGACCGAAAAGGGGCTCGGCCACCCACTCTACACACAGGGAAGGGAAGGTGAGGAGAACACGGGGGGGAGAAGAGAAGAACATGGGGGGAAGAAGAGGAGAATAATGGACTGGGGAGAAGACGAGGAGAAAACAGGGGAGGGGGGGTAAGAAGAGGAGAACACAGGAGGGGGGGAAGAAGAGGAGAACACAGGGAGGGGGGAGAAGAGGAGAACACAGGGTGGGAAGAAGAGGAGAACAGGGTGGGAAGAAGAGGAGAACACGGGGAGAAGAGGAGAACACGGGAAGAAGAGGAGAACACAGAGAGGGGGGGAAGAAGAGTAGGGACACGGGGAGAAGAGGAGAACACAGGGAGGGGGAAGAAGAGGAGAACACAGGGGGGATAAGAAGAGGAGAACACAGGGAAGGGGAAGAATAGGAAAACACAGGGAGAGGGGGTAGAAGAAGAGGAAAACACCGGGGGGAGAAGAAGAGGAAAACAGGAGGGAGAAGAATAGGAAAACAAAGGGGGGAGAGAAAAGGAGAACACAGGGAGGGGGTGTGAGGAAAACATGGGTGAGTTCAGGAGAATGTGGGGGAGGGAGAGACCACTAAAGGAGGGAGGGGGTGGTGGAGAGACCACTAGGGGAGAGGGGTGAGGAGAGACCACTAAGGGGGAGAGCAGAGACCACTAAGTGAGGGGGGTGGAGAGACCACTAGGGGAGGATGGGGGAGAGGAGAGACCACTAATGGAAAGGGGGGCAGAGGAGAGCAGAGACCAGTAAGGGGGAGACGAGAGACCACTAATGGAAACTGTGTAAGGGGCCCCAAAAAATGGAGCTGCTTCCCGTTCTCCCAGAAAATTGCATTTTGTGACCACAGTTACAAACAGCCTCCAGAGATCCTGTTCTACACCAGACCAGTGGAGCCAGACTGCAGCCAGAGCCCATCACCATCCTCATCTAGTTGTAGGCAATTTAGTATATTATTAGTGACACTAATCTCTAATTTACCTCACATCAGGGCCGCCATCAGGGCATGACAACCGCAACGGTTGTCATGGGCCCGGCGGTCCTGGGGGGCCCGGACTGGTCAGGTCGTCCGGGCACCACATTCAGTGGGTACATACTGGGTCACAGGGGGCCCTGCGACCCCGGTATGTACCCACAGGGCCAGCCTCTTCTCCTGGGGGGCCCAGCAGCCGGTCACCTCAGGGCCCCCCAGAGGCTGGCCCTGCTGACACTGGCGGCGGGCGGGCCGGCGCGCGAGGGAGCACTCTCTGTGTGCTTCCTCTTCAGCTCCCTCGCGCACTGTACTGATGCCGGAGCCGAAAGATGACGTCATCTTCCGGCTCCGGCATAAGTACGCGGCGCGCAAGGGAGCTGAAGAGGAAGCACCCAGAGAGTGCTCCCTCGCGCGTGCGCCCGCCAGGTGTGTGTGGGGGGGAATGAAATTAAGGGGAGGAAATGAAATGGGAGGGGGGGAATGAAATGGGAGGGGGGGAGGAATGAAATGGGAAGGGGGAGAGAATAAAATGGAAGGGGGGAGAGAATAAAATGGGAGGGAGGGGAGAGAATAAAATGGGAGGGGGGTGGAAGAATGAAATGGGAGGGAGGGGGGAGAGAATAAAATGGGAGGGAGGGGAGGAATAAAATGGGAGGGGGGAGGAGGAATGAAATGGGAAGGGGGGAGAGAATAAAATGGGAGGGAGGGGAGAGAATAAAATGGGAGGGGGGTGGAGGAATGAAATGGGAGGGAGGGGAGGAGGAATGAAATGGGAAGGGGAGAGAATAAAATGGGAGGGAGGGGGAGGAGGAATGAAATGGGAGGGAGGAGGAGGAATGAAATGGGAGGGAGGGGGAGAGAATAAAATGGGAGGTGGGGTGGAGGAATGAAATTTGGGGGGGGGGGCAGGAATGAAATTTGAGGGGTAGGGGTGAGAGGAAGGAAATTTGAGGGAGGGAGAGAGGAAGGAAATTTGAGGACGGGGAGAGGAAGGAAATTTGAGGGACGGGGAGAGGAAGGAAATTTGAGGGAGGGAGAGAGGAAGGAAATTTGAGGGCGTGGAGAGAAAGGAAATTGGAGGGGAGAGGAAGGAAATTGGAGGGGGGGAGAAGGAAATTGGAGAGGGAGGGGGAGAAGAAGGAAATTGGAGGGAGAGGGGGGGAGAGATTGACATCCATCACACACAATGCACCCCTTGCACACAGAAAAACACACAATGCATTACACACAGACACACGTACACAAGCAATGCATCCCTTACACACAGCAACACACAATGCACCCCTTGCACACAGAAAAACACACAATGCATTACACACAGACACACGTACACAAGCAATGCATCCCTTACACACAGCAACACACAATGCACCCCTTACACACACTCAATGCATCCCTTACAGATGCACACACTGCATCCCATACATACACAAACTCATCTTGCAGCCCTTACACATACAAACACAGATTCACACAATGCATTCCTTACACACATCAGGACATCCCCCACACACACACTCCACTCCCTGTGAACAAACTCATTGGTGGAACATGAAGATGGACCCTGGGACCCAGACCTCGAGCTGTGTAAAGGGCCCTCAAAAAAATGGAGCTGCTTCCCAGAACAGTGATTTTTGTGACCACAGTTACAAACCGCCTCCAGAGAGCCTGTTGTACACCAGACCAGTGGAGTCAGACGGCAGCTAGAGCCCATCATCATCCTCATCTGGTTGTAAGTAGGCAATCTAGTATATTATTCGTGGCACTAATCTCTAATTTACCTCACATTAAAGAAACACTATAGTCCCCAGAACCACTGCAGCTTAATGTAGTGGTTCTGGTGTCTATAGCCTGTCCCTGCAGGCCTTTTAATGTAAACACGGCGGCACTGCAGCACTGGTGTTAGTTAACATGGCAGATCATATGGGTGGGTATTGTGATGTCACATGGGGCGGCAAACTTTACTTTGCCTAGGGCAAAAATCCTTGCACCGCCCTGCAGACACTGCATCCCTGTGGGCTGATTCGGGGCAGCACTTTGGGCGGACTCGGGTGCAGGCACCGGGGGGCCCAGACCTGGAGCTGTGTCAGGGGCCCCAACATTTCTGATGGCAGCCCTGCCTCACATTAAAGGGACACTGTAGTCCCCAGAACCACTGCAGCTTAATGAAGTGGTTCTGGTGTCTATAGCCTATTCCTGCAGGCTTTTTTAATGAAAACACACATTGTGTGCAGCACTGGCGTTAGTTCATATGGCAGACCATATGGGTGGGACATTGTGATGTCACAGGGGGGAAAGGGGCAGCAAATTTTTATTTTGCCTAGGGTGGCAAAAATCCTTGCACCGACCCTGGCTAGGTATTGAAAGAGTATGGTGAGGTAAGAGACATGTTTTTAAACAAAGGGTGTTAGATAGCTCCAAAAGTAGTTTCAGAACAAACAGGTTATGCATATTACAGGCGTGACGTAAAGGACAGAATCCTGCGTTGAAATAACAGCGGTATATTTAGTATATCTGCCTAATTGGGATAGATTCATGTGAGGTTAGATAACAAGGCTAGGTAAACATGTGGCAGCGAGTGGACCTTACTAATCAGGAGTATATGCATACTATGCTAACTGACTGTGGGTACACAATTGTTGTTTCGGGGCTTAAGTGGGGACAGTAGTTTAACGTGGCTTGGTTGCATGTAACGCTCAGAAAAGACATGCACAGTGTTAACTATCATTAACTGAGGATAACAGTGAAGTGTTGCTTAGGCACCTAAAGCCCTATTCAATAGTTGGTGTACAGAGTTATGATGATGTGGACTAGGTTTGACCTATTGTTACTCCACCAGGTTAGTCCGCTGAGGTTCAGCCAATGCCCAGTTTAGTGGCCCTGGTTACCGGCCTGGAATAGATGTCCAAGAGTTTACCCTTCTGCACCTCGGCACCCAGTGTCTTCGCGTAAGCTTCGCAGCACAGGCCATTTGAAGCACCCCTCCTGCCCTGGGACTCTCCAGGAGCCAGTACCAGCATTGCACGGGTTCTTTGTCCTTTCCGGGTATGGGGCTACACAGGGCAGTTCTTTGCGGTGTGCGTAGATGTTTAGCTTTCCTCTGAAGGCTTGTGTGGTAAATAGGGGTCAGAACCGGTGTGGCTTCCTTCCCAGTCAGGCCAGTCATGGTTGAAGATACAATCTTGATCATCGCTTTGCCCGGTCGGGGCCCCTCTGGCCGCACCTCGTGGTCGGCTGTAGTCGGCTGTAGTCGACATATGCCACGGTTTGTTAGTGTCGCTGGTGGCTGTCGTTTTTTCTCCATGCGTTCCCAGAATCGGCTGCATATGCCGTCTAATTTTTCCTGGAAGGCTGCTACCCAATTGCTGTGGCGGTGCCGTTGGCCATTTTAGCTGGGCCTCATGTCTCCCGTCCTCCAGAATTGCAGCGTGGAGCAGTGCGGAGGTAAGTGCTTTGTTTGTGGGGGTAGACCAGGATGACCCCCACTGGTCCATAGGGGGGGGAACGAGGGCTTGTGTTCAAGAGTACTGCCATTGAAGGTGGCAAGGGAGTGGCCATCTCCCCCACACCGACCATGCTTGTAGGCCGCAGCTGTCGCTCTGGCAAATCCTGCAGGCAATGTCGCTTCTTTGGTGTCGGTTTGTGCTCCATAGTGTCACTGTTCTGTTCGTGGCTCGTAAAAGTTTTTCAGAGGTTGTTTGTGTCCATTAATCAGGAATATGTGCTTGGGCGAGCAGGAGCTGTTCTGCCCTGTGACCTCTCAGCTCAGCGGTCCGGCAGCGCCCCTCAAATATTTAAATTTTAAACCTACTTATATTACAATCATCATTCATACTTTTTCCAACATTCATTCTGATGTGGGGGAGGGGGTGGGGAGGACAGGAATCAAACCATGGGTTTCTATTACTTATTTATATTAAAAAGTATTTGGTGTTAATTGGCTTTCCCCTTTAAAAGTTTTATTAGAAATGTCTAACTCTTATTAGCATATGGAGATGTTTGCCATTCGACCCATATTTTTAAATATAGATTCAGTTGGTTATTCATTAAATAGTAACCTTTCTCCAATGAGCATTGGTAGCTTATATGGTTTATTATTTCATTCCAGTTTAGGCAGTGGTGTATCCTGGTTTTGTGCTGCCCTAGGCAGGACAAAACTCAGGCGCCCCCCTCCCCCCCCAACCTCCTTACCTTTGGGAGTGCTGGGGGGGGGGGTCTCTATCCCTGGTGGTCCGGTGGCTGCAGGTCAGGCGGGCGGCTGGCGAGGGAGCACTTCCTATGAGCTGACTGCTCAGCTCCCTCGCGCGCCGGCTGCAGAGTGAGGCTGGGAGCCGGAAGATGACGTCATCTTCCTGCTCCCAGCCTCACTGTGCGGCGCGCGAGGGAGCTAAGAGAGAGCTCATAGGAAGTGCTCCCTCGCCAGCCGCCCGCCTGCCAGCGCCGCCCGCCCGCTCGGGATGTCAGTTAGCCGCGAGGCTAACTAGGCATTTGCCCTGGGCATTTGGGGGGCGGCGTTTTTTGCCGCCCCCTGAAAAATGCCGCCCAAGGCAAATGCCTTGTTTGCCTCGCGGCTAATACGCCCCTGAGTTTAGGTGCCCTTGCTTTTGCCAATTTCTCGCCATGCACATCTTTACTGCCAGCATAATATGAATCATTATTTAAGATAGGGGTTTCTCCGATTCATGACTGCTGACCCAACCAGTCCCCCAACCAATAAACCCGTTGCCCCCCAAATAATACACGTGACACATTCTTCTTGTGGATAAGGGCAACGGCCACAGCTTTATTTAACATAATAATTTTTAACTTAGTCCAACTCTGCCAGCTGTTGGGTGTTTCCCAACAGGCAGTTCTCCCAACTTCTATACCATGAGCCTCGACAGCCGGCTCCTCGCCATCAGCTCCGTGCAGGCTGACGTCTCCCCAAAGCTCCTTTTTTCTTCTGCGCTGTCCAGGGAAACCCGCCAAGCTGTGACAACACAAAACAAGAAAACAAGACACAAGCCACAACACCAGAAACAGGGTGGGAGGGTGGGAAAACAGCCAAGATCCCTCAATGAACCTGCTGACTGGTAAGTCCCCTCCCTCTTCCTTTCCTTAAGAACCACAAATGTATCCATTTTAACCCAGCCCCCAATCTTGGGCAGCAGTCATGCTCCCCCTTCCTTATCCTTCCAGGGGGAAACTTGACTGCTGACCCAACCAGTCCCCCAACCAATAAACCCGTTGTCCCCCAAATAATACACGTGACACATTCTTCTTGTGGATAAGGGCAACGGCCACAGCTTTATTTAACATAATAATTTTTAACTTAGTCCAACTCTGCCAGCTGTTGGGTGTTTCCCAACAGGCAGTTCTCCCAACTTCTATACCATGAGCCTCGACAGCCGGCTCCTCGCCATCAGCTCCGTGCAGGCTGTCGTCTCCCCAAAGCTCCTTTTTTCTTCTGCGCTGTGCAGGGAAACCCGCCACCGCGATGCCCACCTCGCGCACTACGCTGCGCGGGCATCGCGCCCCCCCGCCGACAGCGCCGCCTCAATTCCTGCTTGTAATCCCATATTGAAAATATCTAACCCAATGGGGGACAAATGAACACCATCCCGTCTCATGACGTCATCGTTAACCCCTTCCAACTCAAAGTGCCTCACAACTACACCCCCCAGTTGGCGTACAAACCGAGACATGGTCATGTTAACCTTACGCCTATAGCGCTCCAAAGCCTTACCATGACCCCCGGACCGCCACACCGGGCGCGGAACGATCTCGGACCAGACGAGGGTCAGGTCCCGGAACAACGCAAAACAGCGGGCCACGTCATGCCGCATTGCACAAACTAGGTCCACCGACCGTCGCCGTCCGACATCGTTCCCGCCCACGTGAAGTACCAAGGTCACCGGCCCTGACACACAGCACCGGAGCTGTACCAGCTCGGTGTACAACCCATCCCAGGACAATCCCCGAATCCCCCTCCAACGTACCCGTGCTACCTCGTATGATAAACCGAGGTTACGGCCATAGGATCTAGCCTCCGCACGCCTAGCAGCCCAATAAACAAATGAGTGTCCCACGATCCAGACAAATCGAGGAGCAGGACCTATAATGAAAATAACAGACAACCATCACCGTAACGATGCTAGCCTACAGCAAATGGGGGCGCACGTAGAGCTGGTACCGGCCCGACTGCCAGCGCCCCAAACGCTTGAGCGCCTCCGTGGGAAGGCCCAGCTGACTAGCCTGCATGGCAGCTCCGATTCAAAACGAGTGCGTGGTGTACAAACCCGGAGACAACCCAAGACTAACCACCCCTGCCCGGAGAATCCTGGCGAACTGAAACCGGCTGAGCGCTGACCCATCCCGATGCCTCAACAGGGATCCTGCCTCCGATCCTCGCACCGCCAAGAAATCCCGCAGCAACTTAACCGGGCAAAACGGCTCACCAGTAGCCATAATCCTAACCGATGCGCCCACACCTACCTGATCTGTCTTAGATTTACGAATGATCAACTCCATGTCACCCGTCGAGACCGTGACATCAGCAAGTTGCATGGCAGCTGGCCCCCGCGTACTCGGAGCCACCAGCTCGCCTATCCGAAGAGTCGCAAAAAAGCAGATAGCAAACGCGGCCCGGAACAGGAGAACCTCGTAGCCCGAAACACAGATCTGGGGCAAACGCTCCAGGAGTCTGCACAAGATCTCATAGGAGATGGGACGCCGAGCGTCCCGCCTACGACCCTTCTTTCAGCCCTTCATGATCCGCGAAATGCAAAATGACTTGGTCGCATCCTGCCACCCACACCACTGGAACAGAAAAGACAGGGCCGCTAACGCCCTCTCTGCTGCCGCTACCGACTTACCCTTCTCGCAGAGTGACTCCAAAAAGGACAGAGTCGCTCCCAACCTACCTTCGTCCGTAGACGCCTCCCTGTCCCTGCAGACACCCGTCCACTGCCGCCAGACCGCAGAATACGATTTCCACGTCGACTCCGCCAGCGACTCCCTCGCCAACCGGCTCAGATGGTGGAAACCAGGTCCCATATACCCTCCGGGCACGAGGTGCCAGCCTGCTCCGCCTCTGGAGCCGCCGCTCGAAACCTGTCCCACTGAAACCGAGAGAGAGAGTCGGCTATAACGTTCCGCTCCCCAGGCACATGGCGCGCAACCAACCACAAATTATGTGCTAAGCTAAGCAGGACCAGGCGCCGGAGGAGCGTCAACACCGGAGGCGACGCAGACGTAGATCGGTTGATCACATGGACCACACTCATGTTGTCCGTGTGCACCACTACCTTCCGGTTCGACAGCTCCACACCCCAGAGCTCCACAGCCACCACAATGGGAAAGAGCTCCAAAAACGTCAAGTTACTCACCAATTCCGTCTCTCGCCAGTGTCGGGGCCAGGCCTCCGCGCACCACCGTCCCTGAAAGTAGGCACCGAAACCCACGGACCCAGACGCGTCCGTGTATAATTCTAAATCCGTATTGGCACTTTTTTGGCACCTTTTGCCGAATCCACCAGCCGCAGCAGGTGAGTCAGCTTGTCGTCCGGCAAGCGGAAAACCATGCTCCACGTGTCCACTTCAATCCCTAAGTAGGACAGGACTCCCACCGAACCCACCGTCTTCTCGGCTGCTATCGGCACGCCAAAATCCGCAGCGACGGCCCGAAAGGAATCCAAGAGCCCCACGCGGTCATCCGACTCCCGCGGGCCCACAAACAAAAAATCGTCAAGGTAATGAGTCAGGGACTCTATCCCCGCAACCCGAGCGACAACCCATTCCAAAAACGATGCAAACATTTCAAAGTAAGAACAAGATATATCGCAGCCCATAGGCAAACACATATCAAAGAAAAAGGAACCTTGAAACCGACAACCCAACAGGTGAAAACAGTCCGGGTGGACCGGGAGCAGGCGAAAAGCAGACTCGATGTCCGACTTCGCCAACAGAGCTCCCTTCCCTGCCTCCCGGACCAACTCTAATGCCCGATCAAACGAGGCGTAACGAACGTGTGATTCTTCCTTGTCAATGTCATCATTCACCGACCCACCCGAGGGGTAGGACAAGTGGTGAATGAGACGGAAGGATCCAGGCTCTTTCTTAGGAACTAACCCCAGCGGGGATACCCGCAAATTGGGAAATGGAGGCGAGTCAAACGGACCCGCCATCCTGCCCAAACAAACTTCCTTCCTCAACTTATCCTCTAGGATAGACTCTTTCCCCACCACCGAACGCAGGTTATCTGCCAGGGAAGGGGAATCCGAATGAACAAACGGAATCCAAAACCCCGTCAAAAACCCTTCTAGCAGAACCCCTGCATCCTTACGCTTGGGATACCGGTCGAGCCACGGGCGCATCCTTAGCACGCTCACGGGAGTCCTCCCCTCTAGGGAGATCCTCCCTATTGGATCTCCCACCATGCTTGCCCTTCTTGAAACAGCGCAGCGCAGGGTGGGCCCCTCCACAATGAGAGCACTCGTGCTTGAAACGGCATGATCCAAACCACTTGCAATGACTCTCATTGTAGAGCCAGCAGACTCCCCTGCGCTGCCCAGCCGGCGCACTGGACGGCACGCCGGCTGCTCCTGGAAAGGGGGACGGACGACTAGGGGTCATCAGCAAGAGCCAAAGGCTCCCGTCCTGGACCCCAAAATCCATACCCGAACACACCGCCATCTTCTGGCGAAATTGTTGGTCATACCGAAACCAACATTGTCCCCCATAAACCTTGTACGCCCCCCATATGAGGTCTACATACCCAAACAATGCTGGTGCCTTCTCCGGGAAGGCCCGCTTCATCACACTTGCAAAGATGGAGAACCCTTGCAGCCAGTTACCAAACGTACGCGGCAGATGCTTACCTCTGTCGCCGTCCACCGAATCTCCCCGCCGCGGCCTATCCACCGACTCCCGGTCCGGGGGGACCAGGGAGAGTAAATCTACATATTCACCCTTTACAATCTTCTCTTTCACCTCCAAAGCCACGTGCATCCCAAGTGGGGACAGCTCGCAACCTGGCAAGCACTGCGCCCTACCTGACCGAGTACACTGACCCTTATCCCGTGCATGGGCCTGCGCAGGGAGAGAAACTGGGACAGACAAAGGGCCCCCCCCTGGGAGTCTATCTTACACGGCCTTGAGCAACCCCAGAACTTCCCCATTAAACCCACTATCTACCCTATCCCCAGCTAGCGCATGCCAAGCGCTAGCGCAACACTTACCGCTGGCTGGCTGAGGATGCTGGGCCTCACCATCATCAGAACCGGAACTGGACCCTGATCCCAGGGGTGATCCACGGCCGGCCTCCTGGCCCGACCGCAATCTTTCTTCCAGGGTGCTGCTGCTGCCACTCCTGTGGCCTCTCCGGCTTCCAGTAGCCCTCCTGGGCTCTTCTCGCATGGTTTCCGGCTCACTTCCTGCCGGAACCACGCTGGAACGCAAGGCCTGTGACGTCCGCGCTCTCCTGCGCGGTGACGTCACGTACGCACCTTGTGTGATGACGATCCTTCCGGCCGCGTCCACGTCACGCACCGAGCGTGCTGACGCGACTTCCGGGCCGGCCGGAAGAGAAGAGCGCGGAGAGCGCGATCTTCCCGCCCTTTCGGCAACCTGGCTTCCGCCGCCATCTTGATCCTGGACACCGCCACCGGCCTCACCAGAACGGATCCTCCTCCTCCCGGGTACCGGACTCCGGAGCGGTTGCGCGGCCGAGCCGCCACTTCTTCCCCTCCTCTGACACCTAACCGGACTGGGAGAAAGACGCGACGTTTTTTTTTTTTAAATTCTAACTGTTTGTCTTGAATTACAGGGCCAGTCAGGTAAGAAAACAGCCAAGATCCCTCAATGAACCTGCTGACTGGTAAGTCCCCTCCCTCTCCCTTTCCTTAAGAACCACAAATGTATCCATTTTAACCCAGCCCCCAATCTTGGGCAGCAGTCATGCTCCCCCTTCCTTATCCTTCCAGGGGGAAACTGGAAGTTCTAGATGGAAACAAAGGAGTCAAAGGGACCTCTCTCCCTAAAATTTCCAAGAGGAATCTTTTGAGATTACTTTTTAGAATATCTTACCCAGAGCTTGCCTACTAAATGTGGAAATGAGATCATTTTGCAATATAACATCTCCTCTCCAACATTGGTCAGAATGGTCACTATACATTTTATTTAAATGTTGTTGGAACCATATACCACCTGTATACAACTTTATAATAAAGCTCAATTAGATTTACACAGTGTGTACTGCATTTCGCCCACTTTATACTCTGTTTCCAGTTTTTTAAAGTCTAGTTCCCAATTCACTATTGGTGGCTCTTTGACAAAGACTTCAGAAATACCAAGAAATTTGAGTGAACAAGATATTCTCTTCTTAGGATTATGGTTCTCTAGAAAATTAATAGTGTCATTATGTTCTAAGATTTGTTTTGTAGATAAATAAATTTTTACTCTCAAGTACGTAAATACTTCACTTGAAGAAAGAGAATAAGTAGACTGCAGAAGTTGGAAATGAATTAAACTACCGTTCGAGAAGATATTCGAAACCTGGTTAATCCCACATCCTCTCCAACTACTCAAATCCAGATCTCTTACATTCATTGCCAGTAATTCTAAGGGAGAGGATAAAAAAATCCAATTAATTTGATTAAATTTTTTCCTTGTGTTTTTAACTGTAGTCAGCATCGCGTGGAGAGCAGGGTGGGGTGGGGGGTGTTACTTACTAATACCTAATAAGATATTAAAATAAAATAAAATGTGTCTTATAAAGGGTAACCCTACAATGTTTCTAATAATCATCGACCAGGGCTACTCATGGAGTCCTGATCAGACTGGGCAGGACCAGTTATTGAGCAGTTAAAACATTTGAGAATTTTGCACCCTGCCTATTACAATCCCGAACCCGATATTGAGGAACTTTCAGGCCAAGATCAATGCACACATTTGGAAGCGTAAGCCCCCACGAATAACACAAAACTCTCTTTGGCGTTCATTCACAAAAGGTGGGCTGGGCGTACCCAACATTAAATTATACCACAAAGCTTCATTAATGGCACAGGGTCTCACGATCCTTGAGAGGAAGTCCCCTCCGGTGTGGCTGGCGTTGGAAAACGCATGTCTGCCCACTGGCACGATTCCAATGTTCCTCTGGGCTAGCTCAATACCATTACAATCAAAAAATCTGCTCCCAACCACGGGGATAATGCTCCGGACTTGGAGACAAACTATTCCTCTATTCCTCAAGGAGAATGACCTACTCCTTGAGGCCCCACTTCAAGCCTTGGCCACCCGCACGACGAATCTACAGCTAGAAAACTGGCTTAGCCGGGGGATCTCAGGGGTACGTTCCTTGCTAACCCAAGAGGGCGTCAAACCATTCCCCGAAATTGATAGGGAATTTAATATCCCAGCCAGGGAACTATTCACCTATTTGAGGCTAAAGAATATTATTCAGGAAAGCCAGATTACCATGAAAGAATATAACCCCATACCACCATTTGTCCATAAGTGTAAGGGGAAACTTCCCAAGGTTAAAGCACTATCCCTCTGCTACAATACACTTCTTACCCAATATATGGCAACAAAACCTTCCTACATGACAAACTGGGAACTGGACCTGGGAATACAATTCCCAGTAGCCACGTGGCATCAGGCTCAGAAGTTAACAAAGCAGGCCTCACACAGCCTCAACCAGTGGGAAACCTACTGTAAACTAACTATGCGTTGGTACCTGGTCCCCAAAAAATTGGCATACATATACCCTGATGCGAACAAACTCTGCTGGAGATGCCAAAATCAAGAGGGATCCCTATATCATATATTTTGGACATGTACACAGATCACATCATTATGGAAGGCTATTCACACACTTTTTTGTACGGATTTAGGGATCAAGGTCCCACTGACACCAGAAAGCTTTTTATTACACATTTTCCCAGACAAGCTTCACGAAGAGGAAAGCTATTTAACGATCCATTGCCTAATGGCAACTAAAACTGCGATTGCCCAAAAGTGGAAATCCACACAGGTGCCCACGCTATCAGAAATTCTGGGCAGATTAGACTCGATATATAATTACGAACACATGGCAAGCCGTATCACTGAGAGGCAGCGTAGACATGAAACAAGGTGGCGTAGATGGGTGGACTATAGATATGGAAAGACATGAAAGACGATGTGGCATTTTTGACACTCTACCAAGCTCCTCAGTAAAAAAGGGCTTCCCAAGCTAACACCGTGTAACAGCCTCTAACTGACCATTTTCCCTTTTGCCCTTCTCTTCAACACCAACACAATATAATAAATACTCTATGCCATAGCACAACCTCGCTAATCCCCCACCATTCTCCCCTCCCGCCCCGGAGGTCCAAAAAGTTAGGGCGGACAGATGCAAATTAGTGCCTTAGAATGTATCAGGCTAACTTGAATAGAACTGCCATTGTATATATGTATATATGTATTATAGTCAGAAGCTGGTAAATTGTGCCTAATGGCGAATATACAACTCTATGCATAGATGTTATTACTAATACTTTGTGTATGGCTATGATACAATGTTTATGCATGTCGCCCTCCCTTTCCCTCCCCCCCCCTTTTTTCTCTCCGTGTACCCCATCCCACGTTACCCATCTTTTGCACAATATGCATATTAAGTGAAAATCCGAAAATAAAATACATTTAAAAAAAAAAAACATTTGAGAATTTTAATAGAAAATTAAGACAAGGAGCTCCAACAGACAATTCATGTAATTCCTCTTAATGTCATTCATCCTACAGGGTGTGTCACTTGTTATGGACCAATGACAGACTATGCCATCATAACAATTCTTTTCAAATGTTTTATTTCTGTAGTGCAATGACAAAATCAAGGACAGGTATAGACATGTCATCATGAAACATAAGAGAAGTATCTGCACAATTATAACAATTCTTTATTGATTCTATTCCATAATAGAATGACCCATCCATGTCCTTATTTTAACGCTGTTTGGACCCACCAAAGCTAAATATATGTAACATTCTCAAGGGAAGAGAGAGGAAATATGGCAAAAACAAATTGTGGGTAACAATAATGCTACAATATATTGTATATATAATATTAAACAGTAGACTAAACAAAAGGAAACACTATATTACTCATAACCGAGATAAAAAGTCATACAATAACCACACCAGGTGTGGATGTATTGTAATAGTTATTTTCACTCAAGCTAGTAAATTCATAAAGCAAAGTCAGATTGTGTTTTACAAACAAAAACAAAACCTCACACACAAAATAAATAGTACACATAGGAAAGGAAGTTTATCATTTGGTATTCTAGTAGCTATTGTGAAGTTTCAATATAATGTATCCTCCCATAATCCGATGAAATTGCTTATAACTGAGATTGTTTCAATTCAGAGATATGTAATGCATTACATAGCGTTGGTGTCTTATCTCTCAAGTGTAGCGAATTTACACTCTCCTTTATTGTAGCTATCAATACATGTTATTTTTGTCTTAAAGGTCTTGGAACCATAATCTACTCAATGTTCTGAAGTGGTTATGGTCAGGGCCGGCGCTACCATAAGGCGGCACAAGCGGCCGCCTTAGGGCGCACTGGCCTGGGGGGCGCAATCCTCGGGTGACTGGCAGGAGGAGAGCACACTGCATAGTGCTCCCCTCCTTCCGGTCATTGCGTGTAGAGTTGCCGAGCGGGCGGGCCGCGGTTTACCCGGTCTGACAGGAGATGCAACAAACTGCTTCCTCTCAGACTGGGACAGGAAACAGGATCCTCTGCCGCGTACTGCCCGCTCAACCACGCTGCATGGAGAGAGCAGAAGGAGGCACAATGGAAGGTAAGAGGGGAGTGGGGGACAATAAAAGTTACAGTTACAGGAGGTGGGGGACAAGAAGAGTTACAGGAGAGGGGGACAATAAAAGTTACAGTTACAGGAGGTGGGGGACAAGAAGAGTTAGGGGGGACAGACAATAAAAGGAGGGGGGGACAAGAAGAGCAGGGGGGACAATAAAAAAGTTACAGGTAGTTAAAGGAGGTGGGGACAAGAAGAGTTAGGGGGACAATAAAAGTTACAGGAGGGAGGACAAGAAGAGTTACAGGAGAGGGGGACAATAAAAGTTACAGGAGGGAGGACAAGAAGAGTTACAGGAGGGGGGACAATAAAAGTTACAGTTACAGGAGGTGGGGGACAAAAAGAGTTGGGGGGGACAATAAAAGTTACAGGAGGGAGGACAAGAAGAGTTACAGGAGAGGGGAACAATAAAAGTTACAGGAGGGAGGACAAGAAGAGTTACAGGAGGGGGGACAAGAAGAGTTACGGGGGGGGGACAAGAAGAGTTACAGGAAGGGGGGAACAAGAAGAGTTACAGGAGGGGGGGCTATAAAAGGTACAGGAGGGGAGGGGGATAATAGGTTCAGGGGAGGCAATAAAAGGTGGGGGACATTTAAAGGCACAGGAGGGGAGGTGGGACAATGAAAGGTATAGGGGGAGGGGGACATTGAAAGGGACAGGAATGCTGGGGGGCAAAAAGAGAAACTCATAGAGGCTGAATGCACACGGGGGGGCAAAGAGACACACAGAGGGGCTGAGGGAGGACACATAGACAGACAGAAGGGTTGTGGGGAGAAAGAGATGTACAAAGGGACTTTGGGGGAGAAAGAGCCACACAAAGGAGCTGGGGAGAAGAAAGAGACAGACAAAGGGGCTGGAGTAAGTAAAAAATACACAAATGGGTTGTAAGAGAAACACAAGGAGATAAAACACAGCAAAGCGGGTGTAAGACACACAAAGGAGAAAAAGGGAGTAAGATATTCGAATGATAGGATAAAAACACTGAAGGGGGTAAGAAATTTAAAAGGGGGGTTACATGACACACAGGTGAAGATGCATTTTTTGGGGGGAGGAGGGGCGGCAAAACGCATCTTCGCCTGTGTTGTCAGAAATCCTTGCACCGGCCCTGGTTATGGTGCAGATATCGCCTGGCACCATCCTGCGTAAGTACTCAGACCATTTTCCAAAGGAATAACACATGCCTGGGACACCCAGTTTCCTCCATAAATTCCGAACCTACTATATATAAATATTGCAAACAAATTAAATAAAACAGTTACGTCGCCTGAAAGTGTCTTTCGATTTAGTATTATTAAGTCTGTCTTCAGTCACACCAGAAACATCTCATTCTGGTCTGGGTGAACTTCTCTTATCCCATAAACTGATGTCCAGCAGAGGTTTATTGGATGAGTTGTTTATCAAAGACCTCTAGTTACATTTATCACATAGGGTGACTGGAAGTCTAAAGACTAAAGTGAAAACAACCATGCCACAGTTTAGTTCCTGTACTACTCAGAGCTGAAGACCACACATATATACAGACTGTGGTTCCTTCTCTTCAGCGAGGGAAAAGGGAGCCTATGTGTGTTGTATGCACAATATCGACAAAATGTATGTACAGTATCTCACAAAAGCGAGTACACCCCTCACATTTTTGTAAATATTTTATTATATCTTTTTATGTGACAACACTGAAGAAATGACACTCTGCTACAATCAATGTAAAGTAGTAAGTGTACAGCCTGTATAACAGTATAAATTTGCGGTCCCCTCAAAATAACTCAACACACAGCCATTAATGTCTAAACCGTTGGCAACAAAAGTGAGTTCCCCCCTAAGTGGAAATGTCCAAAACTAAGAGTCCTAGCTGCCTTATAAGATAAAATAAATTAGGTCCAGTCATTGAAGCTTGATGAAATCCTCTGTGATTCCGAAATGTTGCAGTTTTTGTTTCATTAAACCTGCCTTCCTAAGTGCCTGAACCTAATTTATTTTATCTACTAAACTGGGTTTTGCCAAGCTTGGCCATGATTAACACCTGGATTCCTAAGTGTGAATGCGCTTTCCTCCGTTTGTGAATTACTAGCTGCCTTATTGACAGCTCTGGTGGGTTGTCTAATAGCGGCAGTGATTTTTGCACAACTCTAACACTGTAAGCCACATTGAGAAATTTGAGTGGGATCAAACATCTGTAAGTAATGCAAAGTGATTATCATGTTTAGAATGACCCTCTAACGGGTACTGATGAGCTGTTAGTGATGTTGAAGTGATCACAAAGCTACCGTATCGATATTGTTCTATGATTTAACTTTTACCTTTGTTGGTTCGTATGTTAAACAGTCGAGTTTAAGTGCTCGCAATTCTTCCCACGAAGAGTTATTGACATGTTCGCAAAATGATCAAAAAGAAAGCAATTTCAACAACAAAATGAATGTCATAAAATACTGAAAACACTTTGAAGAATTACTAATACTTTTTCTAACTTTCATTTAACAGTGAGCCGTTTCAAAGCAATCGCAATCCAGAAATGTGACCGCCTTTTTCTGGCGGTAATTTTTCTGAAGATTAGTCGACTGACTTAAGGGAACACTGTGACATTAGGAAAGTTAATATGTACTCCTAACATTAAAGTGCATTTCAATAAATTTAAATTTATGCCACCCTGCAAGCTGTAGTGGTTCTGGTGTCTCTTTAAACAATCAGATATCGACATTAGATTGTAATTTACACCAAAGCTTGTCCAACATCAGATTTCCGTTAATTAAAGAAGCAGTATGCGCTAGAAAATATTTTTGGTATGTTATTCCTAATGAGTGAAAGCTCTGTCTCCTGGGATAAATCTCTAGCATATGGGAGCTCTGAAACAAAGTACACTGGGTTTTATTTAAGCCAACATTCCGTGCATACGTTCAGATTCTCTAAAGGATCAAAGGGTGAGTCCCATGACATACCTTTTGAATTAAGGGGACTTTTTCCCTATTTTACATGAAGTAAAATCATCTAATAAATGCTCCATACCTGTGGGTAGATTCCTTTACCAGATAAAAAGGCTATCTGTTAATTGAATTCCAGATGCGGTGTCTGTGAAATTACACTTTGAGCTCCAGATATGAATGTATTTCTGGGAATGGAAATCAGCCTTTGGACATAACTGAGTACTTTACATCGGAAACAGAGATAAAACCAAAGGATGGTTTATTCCTCATTTCTGATGAAAAGTATTAACATGTTTTACCAAGTATACAGAAAATGTATATGTAATGCATTGTGGTGAAGCAGCTGCTAAATGGCAAAATACATAAATCAAGTTATCAATGAAAATGCTTCAAATGAAATATTGGGGCATCTGGAGAATAAATTCAAAAATTATATCCCAAAATTCCAATTCAGATATTTATTAAAGGCAATTTGAAAGCACATTTAGATGTCTGTCCCAACCAGGGGCTACCTGGTGTCCTATAGAAATGCACAAATTCTTTTCTTGGTACAGGAATTCAGACATTTATCATGCTCCTCGTTGTCTCTTATTGCTTTTTCAAAGTGTACTGAAATGACTAAATGTATTAAAGTATTACTATTATTATTATTATTATTATTAATAATAATAATAAATATACAACCCCCAGATTACCAGAATAAAAAAGGGAGAAATTTTCGTACTACAAATACAAAAGCAAAAATATCACTGAGGGTATCACAACCATAGAATGGTACCAAGATCATTGCATTCTGTCCCACTCCAATCTAATGTGCCCCCTTCTCATGGAGAGGAAGCAGAACAGCCACGCAGTGACCCCTTCCCCCAAAACACAAATCAGGTGTGCATGGAGTATGGGTTAAATATAATAGAAGGATATCCTACATATACCATCAACAAATATCTAAAAGGATAGCCTCAAAATGTGGGCCCCTATCCAGTCATACTGAGTTTGTTCCAGAAGTGGGACACCAAAGACAAGCCCCAATTATTGTGACAACAACATTTGCCATTCTGATACTGTGATAACAACTTACGGCATACAGCTCATATGAGAGCGTTTTAACAGCACTCTGCATAGGGGCTAACCTCAGTGTGGTAGGCCGTCCCAGTGTGCTGCTGGTCAGCCCATTGT